AGACAGCGGGCCTGAACAAGAAGGAGCTAACTGGCCCCCAGACTGATAGCTGAGAATCCAGCATGGAACTGACTCAGATCCCCTGAACATGGGTCTCAGTTAGAAGGCCTAGGCAGTCTAATCTGAGTTTTTAAGGTCAATCCTGTTTTCTCTGTGGAGTACTGAATCATTGTCTCCTAACTCTGATGACTATTTGGATGATTTTGCCTTTTGACTAATTCACAGAGTAACACAGACAGATAATTGTTTCAGTGATAATAGTGTCATTACAGATAGATACTGTAGTAGTTTGAGTGTAATTCCCCCCCCCACAATCTCATAGGAAATGGGAAATATAGCTTTGTTGGAGTGGGTATGACCTAGTTGGAGGAAGTGTGTCAATGTGGGGGGCACGTTTTGAGATTTCCTATACTCTGGATACTGCCTAGTGTCTTACTTAGTCCACCTCATGTTGCCTGCAAACTGTAGGACTCTCAGCTACTAATCCAGCACCACATCTGCCGGCATGCCTCTATGCTCCCCACCGTGGTTATAATGTACTGAACCTCAGAAACTCTAAATGAGCCACCATAACTGAATATTTTTCTAATAAAAGTTAAGTAGACATTGTCATGGTGTCTCTACATAGCAGCAGAAACCCTAAGACAGATACCATGATATGTTATATTGAAATTCAAGATAGTTAGAAACCACATACTAAAACTCCATTTATAGTTGGCTAAGACATATCTCTAAATCAACAGTTTTCTTTTAGAAAAATTAAAGGTGGCTCTTTCTTGTAAAGTTATGAAAATGATTAAATTAGATAATGCATAATTCATGTTACACTTATAAATTCAATTTGTATGGTCACAACTGGTATAAAGATGCCAAACTCAAGGTATTTGATTAATTTGTTAATGAGCCATCTCAAATGTTTAATGGAGTTTAAAAATAAGATCAAAGTGTTACTTAGTTGACAACAAATTTTGATTTGTTGCATATACTAAAGTTTAATTGGAGTCTATTATTATCATTTACCAATGCCTAATATTCCTCCTAGAAACAATAAATAAGTGATAAACCTAGAAAATTATCACAAAGGAAAGCTAATAGGAATCTTAGGTGGGTAATCATTGGAAACAGTAGGAAGTCTTTAAAAATCTATGATTTCTGGATCTAATCCATTTGCATTATGATTCGGTGGGTAGAAGATTGTATGTATGTATGAACAATCATGACTCTTTTCAACTTTAATTGATTCTTTGTGGATTTCACATCATGTATTCTAATCTCACTTATCTTCCCAACTCCTCATATCCTTCCTTTGCCTTTACAACCTCCTGCCAAAACAAAATATTTACAAGAAAACTCAAAACTCAAACAAAATAAACAAAGAAGGACAAAAGAAGGCACTGTAGTATGGCTAATTGAGTGACACAAATTACCCTTTATTCGATACTTGTAAATTTTTACTGCTATTCAATGCATTTGTACTTGTTAGTATTTATTGCTATGAGTCATTGGTCTTCTTCAAGGATCCTGGCTTCTGCTACACTATTAATAAGGGGTTCTCATCGAAACTCTTCTTAGATATCCTGTTGTTGCCTGTGTCTTTGAATACTGCAGTTTTGGATCAGTAGGCTCATTCCTTTCACATGCTCCAGTAATATATAGATAGGGTAGTTGCTGAGGTGGGCTAACTAAGCCCTAGTTTTGGGCTTGGGTGCTAACTGGCCTCATCAGCCTGCCAGCTTTCCCTCATTGTCGCTGCCGGGTGAGCTCTCCAGCACTGCCCAACCTAGTTTTCCCAATATAACCAATGCATTTCTCCTGCTCTCAGGCTCTTGGGTCTAGCTCACCCACACTGATACCGCCAGGGCCAGCTCTTATGTTTTCCTCAGGTGAGGGTCAGGTCCTCACCAATTGCTATATGGGACACCTTAGGGGGGCGATGGTGTCAGATCTCCTGCTCTCATACCCTCAGGGCCATCTCACCTGAGTCCTTGCCAACAGGATCAGCTCTAATTTGCTGCACCTATGGGGTTCACAACTTGCTATTCTGTGTGCTGCAGCTGATGAGAGACAGCAGTAGTACTCCCACTCTCATGACCCCCAGGCCAACTTTCTCCCTTGCTGCAATTAGCAAAAATTGAGGAGTGAGAGCATCTTTCTTTTACCCATGTCATCACATGGCAGAAAAGGTGTGGCGATGTCAGGTCTCCTTCTCTCATGCCCTCAGGACTTTCTCACCTGCACCCTTGTCAATAGGGTGAATTCTACTGTGCTTGCCAGGAGAGGGTCAAGGCTTGCTTGCCCAGGGGTTGTAGCTGGTGAGATGCTGGATCAGCTCTCTCACTCTTATGACTAAGGGACCAGATTTTCCTGCTTGCAGTAGGTGATAAGGCATAATGAACAGGTGCTATCTCTTCGTTGCTCTCACCACTATGTGACAGACAGTGGTGCTGTGGAAAAATCATTCTCAATGCTATGGATATGTATTACTCTCATTGATTGACCATAAATCTAACTTGGCCTATAGCCAGGCAGCAAAAGGCTAGGTGGGAAAACCAAACTGAAAATACAGAGAGGAAGAGGAATAGAGTCAAGGGAGATACAAACAGCATGCTGGAAAAACACGATGCCAGAGGGGAGGTAAAGACTCCAGCTACGTGACAAATATAGATTAATAGAAATGGATTAATGTATACCTTTAATAATTTATGAATAATATATCACTATAGTTTTGAATGGTTGCTATGATCTATCTGAAACAACCTCAGTAACATGAGAAATGTCATTACATATAAATTAACCTGAGTGGAATAGAAAACAGGACACTGTCTATTTGGGCTTTCATTATCACATTTGAGGAGATAAATAAAAACAGCTTTGTCATCAGTGACCAATAAGAAAAAGTAAGAAGCAACTCAGAGATCTTATTAGTGAGTGACAGTAAATGGCCCACTTTCTTAAGCACGGTTTGATACCAATTTAAGTCCTGTAATTGCACAGTCTGAACTGTCCTGCAGTTACTTTATTTTCTAATGATGAATGCTTTTGATTTGGCCATATCAGTGAAAATGTAACTCAGATTTATATAAACCCATCAGGCTTGCTCTCATAAAAAGAGGCATGAATGTTTTTTCTTGAGACTTCTTTCAGTAATTCTTTAAAGCTGAACATTTAGAGAAGTTTATGGTGAACTTGCTGCCCCTTTCTCCCCAGTGACTCTTTCATTTGAAACTTTTGGTATGTTCTTTACCTTGTTGGATGGTTCTTGTAACCCTAGTTGCAGAATGTTCCAGAATTTTTTTTTCCTTTTATCAACCCTAGAGACTTTTCTACCATAGCTTGCTGCCCAGAAGCAATTTGCAAATGCCCTTTCTTTCTTAAGAAAACATTCTTGTGACATTTATTTTTACATTACCTCTGATATTTCAAGAACACCTCTCCCATAAAAGCCTAGAAATAAAAGTTTTTGTAACATATTTTATTTGAATTAAATTACCATGCAAAAATTCCAATAACTTAACTATCTTATATTTTTGTTGTTAGCCTAGCCTTTAAAAGCTGGGCCATCTTTCCAGCCCAACTTACCTATCTTACAAGCCATCATTTAGTATATCTAAGACCTAAACACTGAAAACCTTTTAATTTATATTCTTTGTGTAGTTATGCACCACATAGATAAAATATGTAATGCCTGCATTCTGACTTGACATGTGCTATGTGAACAAGTGAAAATGTTTATCTACTTACTTTTATACTGAAAGTATACTATTTTGTTAATCAGATATCAACAATTTGTTTGTATGAAGTCTTTTCTTGGTGTTCATTGTCATGGCCTATATAATATATAAATAAATTTAGTCTTTATAGTTGATTAATCAGTTAGTTATAAATAGAAAATACATTTAGCATAATAAAAGCCACCTTATGTATTTCATTGATTACCTTAATTTTTTGCTTATTAGTTTATTACATATTCAAAATGGCCTAAAATGTAAGCCTATTTTAATTTATTGAAAATAAGAAAGAAGTAATTCCACTGACTTTTTCCAGGTTCTGGCACGAGATTTTATTTATTCATTTATTTATTTTTTGTTGATATAGCGAAAATAACCAGGACTTAGTGCATTTAAGACATGTTATCTGCCACCTCAGCCTCATTCCAAGATGGTAATATAAATATGAATACTACAATGCTCTGGAGTCAGAAACAACAGCAAACTCCCCAATGAACTGTCTTGTTCAAGTCTTTAAGTTCTACTTTTGAATTTGTTTTTTCTTTTCTTTTTTTTTTTTTAGTTAGAAAAATCTTTTAAAGTTTTTAAATTAAAATTGCACCCTGGTGTGATGTGATTTTAATTTAGGAACTCAAATCAAAAGGCAGGCTCTCCCGAGTTGCCGTCCTCTGATACTCGACACAGAGAGGCTGGGGACCTGTGGGACAGCCAAGTATCCACTCAGAGGTCAGCCAACTTCTCAGTCCTACCAGCTTTGTGCACCCAGCTGGGGACAGGGCGACAAGTTTCATGGCCACTGAGAGGCCACTACCAGCAGAGAAGAAAACTCCATTCACCAGTGATGATAGGAAAGTTCAGGGCCCCAACAGAGCCCTTCTGGGACTTCCCTTGGGGTGTGAGGGGGAGCGTACTTCCTAATGGCGGATGTGACTTCTAAAGGAGGGAGCAGACACCTGCTGCTATGACCACGAGCACCCCTTTGTTTCCCCAAACTGGGCAGAGGAGGTGCCGTCAAGGAAAGGGATTTTTGAGTCCATTCCCTTCCGATGCCAACACCCCTGGTGTACTGGCCCACTCACACACGTTAAATTTATATTCATATATATTACAGTTATATATTAAAGAGAATAAACTTTCCCAAAGAGAAACTCCTGAAGAACCCAAGTGGCTCAGGACGATTACTATCCCCCCACCCACAAAAATTCTCTCATAAAATCTTCCAGTGTGATCTCCAAGAAACCCCCCACCTTCTTGTGTCTCCCCCCCTCCCCAGCCCTGCTGTGTCCCCAACCCTGGACTGCCCCCATCCAGCCCAGTGCCATCCAGTCTCATCTCTGGCCATCCACTGCTGCCATGGCTTTCTGCTGGGCGCCCCCCTGCGATACTCCAGGGGGCCACGTGGGCTGTGGGCAGTGGAGATGATGGAAGGAGTTGGAGGAAGAGGGTGGGATCCAGGACGTCTGGTGGCTGGGTGGGGATGTGGCACAGAAGGGGCTGAAGTTTGCAGTGGGGGAGCAGGCCATGGCTGTCATGGGGCTGTTGCTGTTCTGCAGACCCTCAGAGGCTCGAAGCTTGGAGAACATAGCTAGAGCGACAGGGAAGTTGGGCGGAGTGGCAGGGGTGTTGCTGGGAGTACACATCAACTGAGGGTGGTGGTGGATGGTGGGAATGTTGCTTTCCTGGAAGAACATGCTCAGGGCGGTCTCAAACTGCCAGTGTGCCGCCTGAAGCAGCTGCTGCGCCTGGTCAGCCACACAGCCCGCAGCCAGCACGAACTCCTACTTTTGAATTTGTATAAAGTTGTTTCAGACTAAGATGAAACTAATATGATCTAGCTTTATGTTTTCAAGTCAACATTAACCATAGATAAATGCACATTTTCTCTATCCCTTTTGTATATTAGTCTTGTATGTTAGTCAGGGTTCTCTAGGGTCACAGAACTTATGGAATGAACAACCCTCTCTCTCTCTCTCTGTGTGTGTGCATATATATATATATATATATATATATATATATATATATATATATATATTATATATATGTGTGTGTGTGTGTGTAATAAGAAATTATTGGAATGATTTACAGACTGCAATTCAATAATGGCTAGCTGAGAATGTAAGGTCTAACAGACTAGAGTTGCTTTATTCCATGAGGGTGGATGTCTCAGCTGGTCTTCTGTATATGCTAGAATCCCAAAGAAGTAGACTTCAATGCCAGTGATGGATAATCTGAGAAGAGAGCAGCAAAAAAAAAAAACAAAAAAAAAAAAAAAAAAAAAAAAACTAACAATAAAACAAAACACACACACACACACACACACACACACACACACACACACATGCCTTTCCTGTTTTCATTGACCTTATATGAGATTCTAACAGAAGGTGTGGCCTAGAATAAAGGTGTGTCTTCCAGCCTCAAGGTTTAGATTAAAGTTAAATGCCTATGCCATCCACCATCAAAATCAAGATCAATGTCATGTTGTCTTATTATCTGAATCACAAGTGTATCCTCCAATTATGAATTATACTAATTCAATATATACTACAGTTGACAAGCAAGAATAGCCATTATACTTTCTAACAGATTAAATTCACATTTCCAAATGTATAAACACTTGGTCTGCCATATCCCGTCCTTGGTGAACTATATCCTCAAATCAAAGCCCATAAGTCTTACTTCAAGATTCTCTTGTCAGGCTGTTACCTGCAGTTTTTTGCCCACCTGGTCAAACAGCTGCACCAACACCAAATAACACACAGAGATGCTGCATTAGCTATACAGCTGTTGGCCTGTTACTAGTGTTTCTTTTTGGCTAGCTCTTTCTTAAATATTAACCCATTTATATTAACCTAAGTGTTTCTACATGGTCTTATCTTACCAGAGAGAAGGTACAGACCTCTGATATCTCAAGTCTCTGCATGTTGAATCTTCTTCTACCTCTCCCCATATCCTCCTTGTCTTCTAGTCCCACCTATCCTGCTTTCCTATTGGCCAACAGGGCTTTATTCATTTCCCAATATGAGAAACATATTTACAGAATGACATCTTCCATCATCTCCTCTTTTCTGTCTAAAATAAAAAGAAGGGTTTTAACTTTAACATAGTAAAATTACATATAACAAAACAGTTATCAAATAATAACTATTGTTAACAATATTTAGTCTATTAAAATTTAGCAAGATTTAAAGAAAATATTTTATCATCAATCCTATCTTTGTGAGTCTGAAGTCCTATATGTAACGTATCTTTAATCGTAACTAAGGAAAACTATAACCATAACTATCTGTTCTCAACTCCCCTATGGAACACAGAAGATAATACATAAACTCAAGAAATGACAGAGACATCTTGCTACCTGCTCAGTCACCTGAATTCTTCTGTAATGTTCTATCTTAAGCCTACAGGCCATGTTGTGTCTGGCACACTCCTCAGCAAAGCAAAAACCGTTCAACTGTCCACCTATATTGGCAGTATGTCAGTCACTTTTCTCTGTGTCCTATAGACTGGCAGACTCTTTCATGAAGGAGAAACCCTGTAGCAATATCCACTTTGTATCAGCAGTCACGTTCCTATGAGTTCCTATGTATGTCCAGTTTATACAGCATAAAGTCAAACAGTCTACACAAGAGCAGTATTTTGCCCAAATGGCTAGTCTTGACATATTGGAAGTAAACTCCATAACAACTTTTTTTTTTTTAATATCGTCTTCTTTTTGATGCAAGTGGTGTTGCCTCAATGTTAAGAAGCACCCTAAACCATTTTAAATGCCATATTCTTTGGGTCTTTGAAAGGTTTGAAGAATGCCTATTCATCTCAAATACATCTCTGTATATCTAGTAAACGTAACTCACCTAACTATAAGTTTTGACTATTATAAGTAACCATCTATCATCTGTACTTAATTATATATTACATTATTAAATGAGCTATATAAACCTACTACCTAAACAGGAGAAGAAATATACTTATAACAAAATTACCTTCATTTGTATCAGTAAGTGAAAATCCATTCCAAAACAAAGTATTCATTTCTAGACCATAATTCCCATTTTACCTTTAAAAAGAGATTGGTTGTGGTCATTAACCATTTATAACCAGCCACAAATAAATCAAAAAAAACATTTATAGACAAAATTTGGGAATTTGGGTGTCGTTCACCCCAAAATGCTTCTTGCTGGTAAGAGGCGCTGTCTTGGGGAATCCTAAGGAGGTGCAGAAATCCTTGCTAGAGGTCTACAAGGCTGCCATGTCCCAGCTGTTTTGAATGTTGGATCACTTGGGTCACTTCTTCAGGGGGGTCGTGCTTGTTCAGACCATGTTAGTCTGGAAGGAATCCACAGCTTTTTATTTTCTGTTGAAACAAAAATAGAAATTATTTTTCTCAGTAACCTGTCCTTATACTTAAGTTTTGAAATCAAAGCATTTTTAAAATACATAAATTGGATAAATTAAGGAGCATTGATAATCAAGTATATTGTAGCAATTGTTTCTTCCTTATCCACTGAGCAATCAAAAGAAAACACAATAGCATACAGTATACATACTCTGTGTATTTTCCATTTTTTTCGTGGCTTCATTATTATTCTATTTCTTCTACATTTAACTATTTATTTATTTACTTATTTGAGACAGGGTTTTTTTTTATTTTCCCCCAGTAACTTGTCCTTGAACTTAAATTTTTTAAAGCAGATTTTTTAAATTTATTATTATATATGTAATATATATATTATATATAATATATATTATATTATTATATATTATATATTATAATATATTATATTATATATTATATATTATAATATATTATATTATATATATTATAATATATATAATATATTATTATGTCTATGCCAGTTCACTCTCCCTCCCTCCCTCTCACATGCACCCTAACCACCCTCCCCTCCCATCCTCCCACCCCAATTCCATATGTAGGAGAATGCCATTCAGTTGGGGTCATGTAGATCTGACAGGTCATGTGAAGTAGGGACTAGGGCTTCTCTCCTGTCTCTAGATTAAGGCAGTTATCCCTCCATGGGGGATGTGTTCGCAAGGTCCTTTTGTGCACCAGGGATACATCCTGGCTCCACTGTCTGAGGTCCCTTAGACTGCTCAGTCTTCGGGCTGAGACCCATATTCAGGGGGGTCTGAGTCAGTCCCATGCTGGCTTCCCAGCTATCAGTCTGGGGGCCTGTTAGCCCCTCCTTGTTCAGGTCAGCTGTCTCTATGTGTTTCTGCCACCTGGTCTTATCCTCTCCATCTGCATCTGGATTCTAGTTTGACTCAGTGTTTAGGTATGGGTGTTTCTCCTATTTCCAACAGGCATTAGATGAGGGCTCCATGGATAAGTTAGTTGTTGATCTCACTATCCGGGAAGGGCATTTATGGTAGCCTTTCCACGGATGCTCAAATTGTTAGTTGGCGGCAATCTTGTAGTTCTCTAGACCTTTCTTTGTGTTCAATTTTATCTTCCAACCAATATTGGCTCCCTCTTTTATGTTCTCTCTCTCTTTCTCTCTCTCTCTCCTGTCTTATATTCCTAACTGGGCTCAATCTTCCTAGACACACATGTTTTCCATTCCTACCCCTCGTTTTCTCCTACTTCTCTCTCCATTCGCTGCCCCCCCCCCACTTCCCCTGTGCTCTGGGGGATTTGTCCCTTCCCAGTTCTGTGAGAGACTTTATATGACTCTTTTAGAATACATCTTGTATCCTAGTTCCTCTGGTGGTGTGAATTATAGGCTGGTGATCCTTTGCTCTAGGTCTAAAATCCATATATGAGTGAATACACACTATGTTCCTCTTTTTGTGACTGGGTTACGTCATTCAGGATGATTTCTTCAAGAGCCATCCACTTGCCTGCGAATTTCAAGATACCATTATTTTTTTTCTGCAGAGTAGTATTCCATTGTGTAGTTTTGCCACATCTTCATTATCCATTCTTCAATTTAGGGGTATCTAGGTTGCTTCCAGGTTCTTGCTATTACAAATAGTGATGCTATGAACATAGTTGAACTGATGTCTTTGTAATCAACAGGAATTTCATCAACAGAAACAATATCAATGGGTTCATCTTCCTATCCCATACCTTCAATATCTTCTTCCAAATCACTCTTTTAGCCAATTTTACTTGACTCAAGCAGCACTCTACTAATTCTTTTCATCTTTACCAAAGACATTTGAGTTTAATGATTTTTATTTCTTTTCTGCTTCACTGTAGATTTTTTTCACTACTTCTAACTTGGCCTCATCCTGATTATGCATACTATCCTTTTCAAGTTCTTAATGTTTTGAATCAATACAAAAATTTCATTTTCAGATTTTTCTCTCTCAATTAAATTCATTACATCATTTACAATTGTGAGCTTCAGTATGGTGGCTTTGGAATTTGTAATTTTAATTTCTTTTGTGTGTGTGTGTGTGTGTGTGTGTGTGTGTATTACAGGTTTAAACAATTTGTTCAGTTCTTGCAATTCATTGATCTTCTAATCTTCCATTTCTTCTTAGTTTCACTTTGTGCTTCCTCATGTGGATTTTATTGATAAAATTTAACTTAATCAGTGGCTGTCTTAATAAATTTCCATTGCTTTCATCCTTTTTTACTCTATAAACAAAATATTTTCTTTTAGCGACCTATCATTACTCTACCTTCTTGCTGTCCCAAACCTGAGCCTTTTTCTTAGCGGATAATATAGAAGCAGTGAATGCCAAGCACACAGTGTGTGTGTTTGTGTGTGATTTCTGTCTCAGCATTGTCCAGTACTGTAGATGGGCCAGCACAGCTGTCTCCAACATACAGAGGGTCTAATTCAGTTGCATGGAATCTCTCCAATTGTAGACTAGAGTTCATGATTTTTCTAAAAACTTGGTTCAGCTGTCTCTGTATGATTCTTATTTTTCTTATTTTACGTATCAATCCCAATTCCCTCTCCCTCCCATCCTCCCATGTCCCGCTACCCCTGCTCCCATCCCACTCCAAAACCATACCATAGGGAGGGTGAAGCCTTTCCAGGAGGGATTATCAAAATCTGTCAAGTCATTTGGAGTACGACCTAGGCCTTCCCTCCTGTTTCTAGGTTAAGCGAGTATCCCTCCATGGGCATGGGAAATGTGCTCCCAAAGTCCTTTTGTGCACCAAGGATACACCCTGGTTCCATTGTCAGAGGTCCCGTAAACTACCCTGACCATCAAACTGAGACGCACATTCACGGAGTCACATTCAGTCTGGAGTTCATGAGTTCCTCCTCATTAAGGTCAGCTGTCTCTTTATCCTGGTCTTGACCACTTTGCTCATCATTCTACCTCTCTGCAATGGGATTCCAGGAGTTTGGCTCAGTGATTAGCTATGGGTGTCTGCTTCTGTTTGGATCAGCTACTAAATAAGGGCTCTATGATGGCAAATAAATTAGTAATCAATCTCATTATCAGGGAAGGGCATTTAAGGTAGCCTCTCTACTCCTGCTGAGATTATTAGTTGGGGTCATCCTTGTAGGTCTCTAGACATTTCTCTAGTGTCAGTTTTCTCTTCAAACTTATAATGGCTCCCTCTAGTATTGTATCTATTTACTTGCTCTCATCTATTCTTCCCCCTACTCAATCTTCCTGCTCCCTCATGTTCCCTTCTCTTTCTGCTATCACCCTCTCCACACATTGCTTCCACCCCATCACCTCTCCCAACATGTTCAGGAGATCTTGGCCATTTCCCCTTCTGTGGGGGACCTTCTATGACTCCCTTAGGGTCGACCTTGCATCCTAGCTTCTCTGTAGGTATAAATTGTAGGCTGGTGATAATTTGTTCTAGGTGTAAAATCCATTTATGAGTGAGTACATACCATGCTCCTCTTTTTGTGACTAGGTTACCTCAATCAGGTTGGTTTCGTCAAGTTCCATCCATTTGCCTGTGAATTTCAAGATTCCACTGTG